CAAGTGGTCACAAAGAAAACGATAACAGAAGGTGACAGAAAAACAGAGAGAAAAGAGGGTGCCCTGCCATTTTGGGCTCTGGCCCTGACCACTCCTGGCTTCATCCCCACCCATCACTGGCCATGGTCCCACCCACCACTAACCTGTGAAAAGGTTCCTCATCCCTAAAGGTAAAAGTACCCCTGACCATTAGGTCCAGTCACGGACGACTCTGGGGTTGCAGCGCTCATCTCGCTCTTTAGGCCGAGGGAGCCGGCATTGACCCGCATACAGCTTGTGGGTCATGTGGCCAGCATGACTAAGCCACTTCTGGCGAACCAGAACAGCACACGGAAACGCCGTTTACCTTCCCACCGGAGCGATACCTATTTATCTACTTGCACTTTGACGTGCTTTCGAACTACTAGGTGGGCAGGAGCTGGGACTGAACAACAGGAGCTCACCCCGTCGTGGGGATTCGAACCAACTTTCTGATCAGCAAGCCCTAGGCTCTGTGATTTAGACCACAGCACAACCCGCGTCCCCCTTCCTCATCCCTAATGACTGCCTAATGCTCCTGTTGAAATCAATGGGACTTGGCTTGACTTTGGCTAGCTTATATACCAGTTTTGGAACTGTGGTTCCTATTAACTGTATGCAAAGTTGTTCAAAGGATGTGGGGTGAGCTAGAAATCTGCCACTAAACATTTTCCATTGTGAATAGGAGAAAAGAGGTCTCTTTGGGGACAATAGCATAATGGCTGGACTAGGATCTGGGAGAGCAGGGTTGAAACCCCAATGTACCCTTCAAGCTCCCTGGGTGACCTTGGGCCAGTTGCTGTCCCTCAACTTAACCTACCTCACAGGGTTGTTGGGAGGATAAGATGGGGAGAACCATGTACTCCACCTTGAGTTCTTGGAGAGGGTGGGAGATGTGTGATATAGCTGTAATAATAAAGAAATAAGCAATAAACTAAAATGGCCACAGTTGGCCTTGGCGCTTCAGGGCTTTCGACAGCTACCATTGTACCAAAGTTTCTATATATGGTAATTCAGCTGGGGGGGGATGCAAGTAGCCAAAGTAATAGCAGTTTGAGCAGACTTGAGAAGGAAAAAGCCGGGTCAAAGACCGCCAAAGAGGTTTTAATTTAGTGACCTCCTGATTAAAGGTTAAAAAAACATTTTCTAACTTCATGACAACTAAGCCACCAGGTTAATGCTGATTATTTCTTTAAATGGATCCAGCTGTGTGAATAAACTTGAGGGAAATTACAGTTTCTGATTTCCCCCCAAGATTTTGTTTAAGAGAGTGTGAAGTAAATATTGCAAATCAGTAGGCATTAGCTGACAAGAGTTTGAACAGGTGTCTGGTGCAAGGAGGGACAGCTGATGGCTGTTTTTGGTACACCTACTACAGCATTGCAGAAAACTGCTACACTTCTTGACCTCCCTGCCTTCAGCTACCTGCTAAAAACGTCCTGAAAATGTAAACAGCGGCACATGACCAAGTTTAAATTGATGTGTGGAACAAATGAAGGGAGATCTTGCTTTTAACGTTATGAAGTCACCTCAAAATGGTTTGAGCCTTTTCTTCAAGGTTGGCCGAACGTGCCCTGCTTCTTCATTTTAAAAAAAGACTTCTGAGAAAATAGTGAAATAAAAGTCGGTGAGATGCCAGTGACTTGTGATCAGCTTAAGGAAAAGAGCCAAATCCAACAAAAGGTAACAGAACATTACGAAGAATGCTGCACTCAAGCCTCCTACAAAGCATTAAAGGCAATACCTAATACAAGCTAATGGTCATGTTTGTGTTTGTATATTCCCACTTTGGCTATTTCTCCATAGATTAGACTTGGAAGCAAACACAAGCCGTATAGTCTAACTGCAAAAGCAGGACCAATATGACACCATGGGAAAGAGTGCGAGCGAAGAAAATAGCCCCAACTTATTTAAGCAAAGTGAACTGAGTGGGAGCCATTTCATACTAGGGCACAGCTATATGGGTGTTGCAGCAGTGTTTTCAGTAATAAAAATAACCATGTAAAGCGGAGATTTTACATGGTTTATAGAGGGTATTTAAGACCTTTAAGATTCAGTTGCACAGACAAAACAACTTCACCAACATGTGGGAGAGGATATAAGGCAGTTGGTTTGTGGTGGTCATGTGGAAATGAGCAACATTACAAATCAGCCTAGAATCGTAGAGTTGTACAACGTTATCCAAGCCTGGGTTTATTAACACTATTTAAAGAAGATCAGCTCAATTTACTTTATAAGGAACTCATCTCTTTTCTCCTGGTGGCGGCACAACTTCTTATAGAAAGGACTTGGGCACCTGCATATCACACGATATGTGACAGAATGTGTGGACTATTGCCTTATCTGAAAAACTGACAAAAAGGTTACATGTCCTGAACAACAAATCCAATACGGACGACTTTACTGACATATGGCACAGTACCTGTTTATAAAATATTTGAATGAACACTCGGAAGACTGGCACCCACCGACTTGTGCACACAGATTTATGGCAAAATCTGACACCCTAATCTTCTGTTCCGGGGGTGGAGCTGGGGGAACTTAATGTTCTGTTTATATTTTGTTGAAAATAAAAGCCTTTTATTAAAAGAGAAATGGAAAACAACCTACCCTTCCCATGATTCTTTGTGGGAAGCCATGGCTATTTAAAGGGGTATGATACTGCTATACATGTTTAGAGCAGATGAGGCCTAAATTAGGTGCATTAATCTCAATAGGTCTGCTCTGAATAAAACTTAGCTGAATACCACTCAGAAATATTTATCATTCCTGGTTCAAATCAAGCTGAGGAAGTATAGAGGCAGTGGGTCACCAGGCTAGTTACACTTTTCGCTCAGATGAGCACCAGCACTTGCACAGAAATAAAAACAATGACATCAAAAGCCATAATGGACACAAAAGCATCACTGGAATTCTAGGTGGGGGTGGGAATGCAGACTATACAGATATCAGTGTACAAAGCCTGGTTTTGTAAACTTTTGGGTATTATAGAAATTATATTCAAACATCTTAGCTCCACACAAAAAGGTATGCCTGGATTTAGTATTTTTCAATGGTAAGTTTGAAAGAATGTGGGTAGCAAAATTTTATACAGATGCCACTTAAACCAAGAGCATTTGTTCCAATAACAGTAATAATAATAATAAGTATATAGTCTGGATCCACAGAACTTATCATGACTGTTTAGAAGTCTCAATGGACTGTATTAGTAACCAAGACTGAAAAAGATCCCTCCTCTGTTTTCTCCATTAAAACCTTCAAATTTTGCTAGTCACCAGAGAAGTTCTTGTATGGTGATCCTTCATAGACTTCCCTGAGGACACCCAACCCTCTACCTGCATACCTCAAAGCAATAGCAGCACTGCAGTCTCACCCTTTCTAAATCAGAAATTGGCTTCTTCAAACCCTACCCCCCAATTTAGATAGGCTGCTGGGTCTACTCAAGGGACCTTTTGAAGAAAATGGAGGAGGGGGTCATGTACTTCAATGCTTCTGGTTGTGGTGTTAACTTAGAAGGAAATTGTGCATGCAGAACATTCTCCCAACCATTACAGTGCATATATATATATATATATATATATGCTTTCGTAGATTTTCACGGGTACAGGAATGCAGGTTTTGGTGTCCTCGGGTGTCTTCCCGTGTAAAAGTTGGGGTGTCTAGGCGACGTTTCGACGATATATATATACACATACACACACACACATACAGAAGATGACTTAGAGTGCATTATAAGCAGCATCTAGCAGAGCTAGGCATCAAGCAGCCTTGCAAATAAGTCTATCGATGTGGCTAGTTTACAAGGGGGCGGGGGGAAATATCTCTGCTTACATGCCTATATATACACACCAAAGCAAGCCATTTGTGGCACAGTAGGCGTCTGAGGGAAAGGGAGGGGGCAAGAGGAAGGACTCTAGCTCTCTTCCGGTTTCTACAACCTCTGCAGCATGGTTGCTTACCTTGAAGCTACAACCACCACCACCCTGCCAAACACACACACACACACACACACACACACACACTCCTACAAGCAAGTCCCATAGAGCTCAGTGGGGCTCATTTCTGAGTAGATTAAACATGCATAGGATGATTTTCATTTTTCATTCTACAGACATTGGGGTTCTCTAGAGCCTGCCAATATCTCCATCTTGTGCATGGATGGTATTGTTTTGACTATATAAGTAAGGGCACTCACACCTGAACATTGAAAACAGAGGAAGATCTTTTTACATTAAATCAACTATTTTCTCTATTTTAGGCAAAGACAGTGAAAATCGTTAAGTCTTCCTAAGTAGCTTTGGGACACTGAAAAGGAAACAAGGGAGCGCCTGTTAAACCATCGATTTCCAACAAGTAGATGGTCAGGTGGCAGCGGGGAGAGAATTCTCATCAAAATGTCATCACAGAATTGTAGAGTTGGAAGGGGCCCTGAGGGTCATCTAGTCCAACCCCCTGCAATGCAGGAATCTCAGCTAAAGCATCCATGACAGATGGCCTTCCAATAAAAAGAGTTCAGCACCTTCCAAGGGAGTCCGTTCCAAGTTCTCATCAAACAGTCACCTCTCGTCAGGTCCTACCTTCTGGAGCCAATGGATTCAAGTTACAAGAAAGGAGATTCCAGCTAAGCTTTAGAAGAACTTTCTGACAGCAAGACAGTGGAATGGGCTCCCTTGGAAGGTGGTGGACTCTCTTTAACTGGAAGTTTTTACACTGAGGTTGGATGGGCCATCTGTCATCAAGCAAGGATTAGTGAATATGTTACAGAAGTCTACAGGACATGGCTTCCAATTATGGAGAAGAAGAAGAAGAGTTTGGATTTGCTATCCCGCTTTATCAGTACCCTAAGGCGTCTCAAAGCGGCTAACAACCTCCTTTCCCTTCCTCCCCCACAACAAACACTCTGTGAGGTGAGTGAGGCTGACAAATTTCACAGAAGTGTGACTAGCCCAAGGTCACCCAGAAGCTGCATGTGGAGGAGCGAGGACGCAAACCTGGTTCACCAGATTACGAGACTCCCGCTCTTAACCACTACACCACACTGGCTCTCTGGAGTGCAATCATGGGCCAGGAATCCAAAACAGAAAATGTGATTAGTAACAAGAAGTTTGGCATCAGCTTACTTAAAGGGTGTGTGTGTAGAGAGAGAGTGCTCTGTGTTTGTCTATTTTAAACAGATGTCTGGGCTTCCAGCTAAATATTAGCAACTCTGGTTGACATCAGTCAGCTGTCAGCAGTAGACCCCGCCTGAAATGCCTTGGTGGAAGCAGCACTACGCAGGAAGATGAGCTGTTCTTTGGCAGGAAGTCACTGGAAAGAGAGGCAAGTGTAGTCGGCTGATTGCATCCTTCTTTCATCACCTGGGAACCCATCTAAACTTGTGACCCCCAGTGGCTGTCCTGACCAGAAACGCATTGCCTTGGGGGAAGGCCAGCGTCCTAATGTTACAATGCTCATTGATGGCTGTCGTGAAGGACACCCCTTCCTCAAGTTCACTGCCACGGAGGTCCAGGGAACTGTGGCTGCTGCATGTCTGCAAGCCCTGGAAAGCACCATACATGTGGATTCTTTCGTTCTCTCCCCGAGGGCGCTTTGGGCTTCTCTTGTCATCAGCAGACTGCAAGGCTGCATTGCATCTGTCTGATATTTCCCGCAAAATTTCGTTCACTTCCATCTCCTCCTCCTCTTGCTCAGCGATGGTCACCTGCTTGAGGCTCCTCTTGTTGGGGCCATTGGCAAGGGAGAGGTCTGCGCTGTCTTTGCACTGTGGGATCATCAGCTTCTGCCAAGAAACAAAGATATCAAGCACTCTAAATCATTCAGTGCATGAGTGTATGCCAACCTGGAAGGGGGTGGGAATCAACAAGTCTAATGTTTTTTAAACCAACAGCACCCCCTACAGAATAAACTGCTGAAAACCCTCATACTCCTGAAGGATATAGGATTGTGGATCTGACATAGTTACCCACTGGGATTTACAGCACCATAGAATGACCAGGGTTCAGCTCCTGAACCTTATTTGGTACCCTGTGGGGAGATGAATGTGCCCTTGGGCAAGTGGAGAGACATGCAACATCAGCAGGACATCCAGATCAGCAGGGACAACTTCCAAAAAAGATGCCAAATTGAGAAAGATATTCCAGTACTTACATCCAGCACAGAGGCAAGCTGCTTCGCTTGGCTGGCCAGTTCCTTCAGTTGGATATTTCTTTCCTTCAGGGAGGCAATTTCCTCCTGCTTTTGGGTCAATGTCACTTGGAGCTGTTGGGAGATGAATAGGAGATGAGGTTCTGAAAGTCACTGGAGTACAAAGAGTGATCTGCCTTCTCCCAATCTGGTGCCCTCCAGAAGTTGGATTACAACTCCCACCATCCCTGATCATTGGCCATGCTGGCTGGGGCTAATGGGGATTGCAGTCCAAAACATCTGGAGGGCACCAGGTTAGGGAATGCTGCTGGGGAATGTTTGTGTACTGGCAAGCAGATGTCAAAAGGTTTCTTGATCAGGCCTCTGGTGGGCCACTGTTAAAGGCTAGTGGGCTGTATTCAGATCTGAACTGCCTTACAGGAAAGTTTAAATGTATATTTTTTGTCAATATGCTCCTCTCATTCTTATACAGCACCCCACTCATTTAACTTTGCAAGTACATCTCAAAAGCCACAACTGTAGAATGTTTAGGTGATAATTTCCAACAATCTTAGCAAGTCCTGCAAAATGCAATTTTACAGAGGGGGAAACCCAGCCAAAGTGAACAGAAAAATCATTTTCCTACTGGCCTCCTTGAATGCATAATTTACACCTTACCGGATTCAATAGAATTTGAATCTGTGATGTGAAGTCCACTTTACCGGGAACAGCTGTGATTAAAGCAACCATTGCTTCCATTTGGTATAATGGATGGTGGATTTGTTTACATTTTATTGAAAGCTAAAGGAAACCCTGGATCCTTCTGTGAAGAAATGCCACAACTCTGTGTGTTTTACTCAAAAGGACGCTCCATTGAGTAAAATGAAATTTACTAGCGTAAGTAAGTTTGCAACACTGCGGTAGAGCCAATCCAAAATAATTTAAGAATTGCAAATGAACATCTCAGTCTGCAAGTCATTTACTAAGCTATTCATATTCAGGTTTTTCTTTAGACACAAGTGTCACTGAAACCAATGCAACTTGCTTTCATTTAAGTATGTTTCATCTCAGTGTACTGTTCCAACTTAAATCCATGTCATTGTCCTAAGTGGCTTCCTGCAAAGAAACCAGTCAGGCTGGCTTCAGAGTAACTTTCTTTCCCCATATTCATTTTATTTTTATACCTGGTTGTTTTCCACAAGTGCATCCCCTAGAGCTTTCTGGTTCTGATTTGCTAAGTCTTTCCAGTACTGCTCAGTGGAAGAGATGTTTTCTGCATTCATCTGAGAGGCAGAATCGTCCTCTGCAGGCTGACGAAAGCAAGGGCTGAAGGATCTTCCATCATCCACAGGGAAAGGGAAATCAGCGCAGTCCAGCAGAGGTGGCATCAGAGAGGATGGATCTAGGGAGACCAATAAGAAACAAGTGATACAGCTGATTGACTCCTTATTTGACATTCACAGGTCAAACACAAGGTGCTTTTGGCACAATGAATTGTGACTTTGAAGTTCAGATGAACAGCAAACAAAACATGAAGTAGTTTAAGATCTGCTTTGCTTTTTGAAAGACCAATTAGGACCCTTGCATGGAAGAGTGGTGTGCTGGGCTGAGGGCTTTAATTATTTCCCTTAACCTGTCCTTCCCCTCCCACAGTAAATAGCAGCTTTGGTGGGGTTTGACAGGGAACAAGCTGCAGTTCCAAACCAGTCTCCATACTCCCTGCAGCTGCTTTTAACTTTGATACAAATCATGGCAGATTCTGATTATGACTATCCAACATCTTACCTACTGTAGTTGAACCTTTTGAAATAAACAAGAGCAGCCTTTTTCATTTGAGGCTGAAGATTGCCCGTCTGTGCTTTAAAGCAAATCTCATTAGTCAGTCACCTTAATTATCACCTGCATTTTAATTTTTATTGTGTTTTATGTTTTAACACCACATACCACCCTTATATTTTATGATAAGATGGTATAGAAACGCTTTTCTAAATAAATACCTAAAAATGCTGTCTAACAGAAATTTGACACGTATTTACTTAAAAATAAGTTCCATTGTGTTCAGCTTTGTTTCCTTCAAGGTGGAGATGTATAGGTTTACAGCCTAGGGGTTTAAAAGCTTTAAACACAAACCCACATTGAGGATCAAACTAGCTGTGGCATTGAGAGATCTGATCTCCAGCTAATTTGTTTTGAATTTCCAATAGGTGAAAGGTTATATGAGATCTGACTGGAAACATGGTACTGAGAAAGTGAAGTTTAGTCTCTTCCCTCTCTCACCATTTTCCTAATTAAGTTTTCTCCTGTGTCCTAAATTTGCTATTTCATTAGAGGGCAAAACATATCCAATCACAGATCTCTCATCATGCCTAGTTTAAGTCTTAGTCTAATCAATGAGCAAAAGTATTTTGTGAACTAAATAGGATTATAGTCCTTAGCTGATTTAAAGATATTTATCAATCAAGAAGGATTCCCAGATTAACTGGGTAAAAGTGTTTTTAAAAGACCAACCCCCCCCCCCAATAAATACACTGTTTACTTCTGAATAGACCCGTGCAGGATGCAGAAACCCAAAAGTTTTAACCGGTTTTTAATCCAGGTGTCCCCACACTAAGCGTTCGTCCTAAGACTGCCCTTTCCTCTTTGACAGGCGCAGTTTTAAACTGGACTCGGTATACTTGCCCGATATGAAGTTATCCACGGCATCGCGAAACTCCTGGAAATCAAACTCTGGCTCGGGTTGCAAGCACGTGCTCTGAAATATATAAAAGGAACGAGGCAGTTAGGGGGGGGGAAGCCCTTCTCGATTCTCAGTTCCTGCTCGCTGCTCATTCTTCGGCAAGTTTCAGTGTACGCACTTAATAAAACGCACCTGAAAATCCACTGGCCATGCTGAACAGTGGAGCCGGCAAGCTTGCACTGCCATGGCAAAAGGAGAAAGCAAGAGGCGCTATCTACGCAGCGGCGCCTAAGGAGGAGGATGCGAGAGCAGCAATCCCTGCCGAAATGTTCAGGGTAAGAAACAAGCTGGAAAACCCAAGCTCACGCTTCGCCACCGGGGCTTCCCTTTACGTCTCTTAGCGCACTCTCATTGGCTAGCCTCACCAGCCAATCAGATTCATTTGAGCGGGGCATTCCGCTAGTCCCGGGCAAAAATTAACCCTGAACTGTATAGTTTCTCAGGTGGGACGTACTAGTTTCTCAGGTGGGACGCAAGGGGCGTGGGTTCAAAGAGGAGGAGATTCCTAGCAGTATAAGAACCCATCAACCGCTTAAACCGACAGTCAATTTGGGTTTGCAAAAGGTCCTTAAGCAGATTTAACCGGTTTCTGGGCTGCGATCTTCAAAAGTTTAACTTTTTACCTTTATCCTCATACTGCATTTTGTTTTATTGCTATGGCTGGTGGCTGATGCAAATAAAGATTCATTCATTGAAAGAGATGAGCTAGCTTCTGCTCTTTTTGTGGGCTGCATCCAAAGTGCTTTGAAACATTACATAGTCTGGTGGCTATTTTCTTGGGGGGGGGGCTCAGATATCTTCCCAGATAAAACTGCCCAACCGCGCAATCATGCTCGCTTTTATTCAGAAGGAAAGAGCTGTGCTCAAGGGACGTTACTTCCTAGCCTATCACAAAAGGTAGCAGCATCATTGCAAAGAAAGGCAGCGCTTATGTCTCGGACTGGTCCTGTGCCGCAACCAGCATTTATTGCAAAGCACTGGAAAACAAGGGAAGCAGCTGCACTGCGGATCCACACGATACACTTAAAGCACATTCAACGCACATTGGTCCCCCATCCCAAAGAATCCTGGGAACTGTAGTTTGACAGGGAACTGTAGCTCTGTGAAGGGAAAACGTCAGTTCGCAGGATTCTTTGAGGCAAGTCATGTTCTTTGAATGCGCTTCAACTATACCCCGGACCCACTATAAACAGCGCCATTTCCTTTAACTGAGGTTTCCCGCTTCTCTCTCTCTCCTTTTTTAAAAAAGACCCTGATTCTAGTGTGCTTTCATCCATGAACCATACAGGAAGGGAGGTACTTGCGCCCAAATAAACCCCTTTAGGCGCAATCAAGGGAGGTTCGCCTTTGGTCGTGTGAACCATGAAAGTTTGGTGCCCTACTGTTGTGAAGGGGCACCCTTAGGGTGGCACACGCTGCCTGGGGCGGGTCAGGGGGTAGTGCCTCACAGGCTGGCCTGCTGCCACCATGTGGGATAGAGGACGCTATCAGAGATGATGCCACTGCCAGACCGGTTGGCTTCTTCATGTGGAATTGGGCCTGGGAGCATTTTCTCCTTGCAAAGTGTCTTGAGGCAGCGCTGCTAGTTCTTTCCCCCATCATAGCCCCAATCCGGATCAACCTCGACTTTAAAAGGGGAGGTGTCATCACGCATACTGTAATGGGGTGAACAGCATCACGTCTGCTTCGGGCCCAGGTCTGGGAAGCGTGTCAATAAAGACCAAAGAGGATGAGGGGGCGACGGTTGTCAACTACCTGCTGGGTTGTTGCAGCGCCTCTAGAAACTTCCTGCTGAAAGACGCCCGTGCAGTCGGCTAAGTCTTGCCAATCGATGGTCGACAACGCTAAAAGGGGGGGGAGGGGGAGGCAGATCAGTGTTTATTTAAAAGGGTAGGAGACTGGGAAGTTTTTTAAAAAATGCAAGAAACTCATGTTAGATTTGTCAGTATAGAAACGCAAATCCTGTGTGTGTGTGAAATATTTCATTCCAGATTAACCAGTCCTCTGGTTGTGTCGAATCCTGGGACTAGATGACCTTTGGCGGTCCCTTCCAGTTCTACGATTCTATGAAATACAAATTGCTAAAGGAGTAACCTTAGTAGTGGTCTCTTCTCAAGCAAGGCACCTGCGGTAGCTGTAAAATCTAAAGTGCAGGAGGTCATTAGGGCGGCTCCCCTAGCCACGCCCCCAAGAGAGTTCAAAAAAGTCTCTGTACGCACGCACATACAATAGGGGTACAAAGCATACTGTTTAATCTATTAGGATCATAGTCACCGCAAGCCGACAGGTAGTTTCCATTGAACCCTGGATGCTTACTTCCGAGCGAATAGGTGGTAGTCAACTAACTTTTACTCCGAGAAGAACTGTTGGGATTAATGGGTCATGTCCATTCATTTCAGTGAGTCTACTTTGCGGGAAACCAGGTGAAATACCACCCACAGTCAGCTGAAACACAAATCTTTAGCTTTTAATTCAAAATGCAAACAACCTTGCACAGAAGAGTTACTGACTAGCATTAAGCCAATACGCCATCAAAGAAAAGGAAAGAAGTAGACAGCCTCTGCCTGATTATTTCCCCCGTCTCTTGCCTTCCTCTGCTAATCTGACACAATTATTAAATGCTTATTATCACCTCATTCATGTGTCAGAACAAGGTCCCCCCCCCACATTAATTATTATGATGCCCCAGCATTTTCCCTGCTGGAAGAGAGGCAAGTTCTCAGCAGTGTTCTCTTGCATTTCCCCTGCATGACACCACGAACTGCGATACGAAAGAAGGTAGTTAAATGGTCTTTTTTAAAAAAAACCGCACTCACCTAGATCTACAGAATCCGGAGGTGGGTCGTTATAAATGGCTATTGGGTTGCATCTGAGGTTGCTATTCCGTGGCACCTGCCGGCAAACAATCACAAACAGCAGCATTCAGGTTTCAAGGTTTCTCTTCTGGGCACATTTACTTTAGAGAAAGTGAAGCGCCACTGGGGACTTACTTCCGAGTAAACATGCAGAGGGCTAGGTCGGAATAACCCTTTGAATCCTTACTACTGGGTAAAAGTACCGGTACTTAGGAGTGTGTTGTAAGGGCAACCTTATGTGGACAGGGCATCTAAAACAAAAGGTGCCGGGGCTTAGTTTTCCCTGAAAATTGTGCCCTTTGCAGTAGAAACACCTTCACCTAACTTCAGATGGCAACTGGTTGTTCTGCATGCAGAGAGCTCTGCACGTGCTCAGAGACACTCCTTTCCCGGCTATTAGTCCCCATCTTCTAGCGATGGTTGCATATTGGAATTGCCTTTTTTCCTGGCCGGGGGCTGGGAAAATGCGCTTGCTCTAACCGCTGGGCGACGCTGTCTCCCGCCGCAGAACGGCTGCTGCAGGCAGGGAGACAGGTTTCCCCGGCGTTTATTTCTGCCAAGAGCAGATGGCGAGAGGCTGGTCGGTCGGGCTTCGCAGCCTCGCCTTCTCCTTCCAACAAACGCACCTTTCTCTCTGCTTTACTGCCCGGCTTTTTGCCCAGCCGCTCGGCCAGATCCTGCACCCTGTTGGGGCACAGGCTGCCGCAGGCCTGCCTGCCGCCGCGGCTTTGCATGGCACTTGCTCGGCCGGCTGGCTGGGCTCGATCTGAGCCGCCCTTCGAGGGGAGCCTGGCCGCCTCTCTGGGGAGGAGAGAGCCGAGGGGAGGCGGGCCGGCGGCCGATTGAGCGCCAGAGGTGGCGCCTTCGCCTTGGCACGCTCCAGCCTGGCAACAAGGGAGCCCGGCCCAGCCCTCTCCCCTCCTCTCCCCTCTGGGATTAGACCCAGCCGCCGCCGAGGCCGCCGCGCGGAGCCCACGCGCCAAAGTGCGCCCTTTCGCCAGGCATTGGCGCCGCGGCCAACCGACGAGCGGGGAGTTGCTTCGGGTGAATTCTCCAGGGACGGGAAGGGAGCCGATCGGGAATTCACTTCTCCCCATGGCTCAGTCTGCCCTAGTTCTCTCACCCCTAGAGATTGGAGGGTGCCTCTGAACATGTGCAAAACACCCATTTCCTCCTCCACCACCACACGTTTTCACAAGAGTAGCCTGCTGGTCAGGGGTGCCAACTGGGATAAAATATTGGGGAGCCCAGGTAAGCTCCGTCCCAATAATTGATCACATGACATGGCGCGCGAGCACACACAATTTGAATGGCAATGGCCATCAGCTTTGGAGGGGGCCGGCCCCCTCAAATATTTTACTGGAGAGCTGAAGGGACCTGGGCCCCTAGGAGTTGGCTGCTGGATCCGGCACATGGCCGATTCTCACAGTGGCCAACCAGAGCACGAACCCTCCCATGGTTTCCAGCAATGCATTGGGAAGCATTTCTACCTCCAGCTGTTGCATTGCATTGATAGCCCTCTCCTCCATGAATTTGTCTAAGCCTCTTTTAATGCCATCCAATTTGGTGGCCATCACTGGATCATGTTCCGTAGCTGGACTATGCGCTGCATGAAGAAGTCCTTTCTTTTATCTGTCCTGAATCTTCCCACACTCAGCTTCGTTGGACGTCCACAAGTTCTAGTGCTATGAAGGAAGGAGAAACCTGTTTCCCGGCCCACTTTTTCTGTGCCGTGCATAGTTTTATAAACATCTATCATGTCACTTCTCACATGCCTTTTTTCTAAACTGAAAAGTCCCAAACTCTGCAACCCTTCTTCCTTTTTTAAAAATATTTTTTTTAATTTTCTGTTTTACAATTGAGAATATACATTTAAACAACCTCAATCAATGACTTCCCTTCTTCTCTTTCCATGGTTCATTTTGTATAGCATAAATTGCTGTATAATTTATATAAACTAAACCATTCAGTATTCCATTATTACTTCCATCAAAACTTACAGGTATTTACACTGCTGAATTTATCTTAATGCTGCCAACGTTTTCAAGTGTACACAATTCCCCCCCATATATTCAATAAACATTTTCCAACCTCCTTTAAATGAATGTTCTTCTTGTGCTCTTATTCTATGTTATATCTGCAAGCTGCGCATATTTCCATAGTTTAAGTTGCCATTCTTCTTCGGTTGGGACCTCGGTCATTTTCCATTTTTGGGCTAACAAAACACGGGCCGCCAACCCTTCTTCCTTAAGGGACTCTCTCCATCTCATAGACCATTTTGGTTGCCCTTGGCTGAACCTTTCCCAACTCAGCCCAACCCAAAACTAGGCAGGTTTGCTCAGATGTAAGTCTTAGGAGCCCAGCGATTCCCAAGTGTTCTCACACAGGACCAGTGCCTTAAGCATCACTGAGCATCTCTTTGTGGTGGTTCAAGTGCTCATGGGCATTGCTTGATTAGTTGAGATTTGATGGCTTGCAGCTACCTGATCTACACAGTTCAGCAGGATAAGGTGGTAGGGCAGACTGCAAGACAATTGAATAGTTGATTGAACCTTACATCATTGAGTTTGAGTTCCAACAGATATCAAGGGAGTTGAAGTCTCCAACTTTATGCACTTGGTGCCTGGCCAGTTGAAATGGCACAAATTAAGTGCATGAAAGGCAGAGAGCCTAAAAGCTCTTTCCACATCTGGTTTTATCAGGGCAGAAAGAGTGTGAAAGCTCTTCACCTTGCTTACCTTTTCTCCCAGGCACTGGAGGCCATTGCAAGATCTCGGATGGCCCCATGAGACCTCACGCCAGCCCCAGAAAGTAAGGTTGTTTGTGCAGGGAATGTAACCCCCGGTGTAAGATACAAGTCCACTCTGTATCTTGGTTAGCTGGAAGGCCTTCCCACTCCAATGGTTTGATGTGTTGCTACAGCAAGATTAGGGCCCCCAGGACTTTTCATTTTTAAAATTAAGTATTGCAGGGCTAGATTCCATGGAGCTACATGGATCAAAGTTTCCTTTGAGCCAAAATACAATAGTTTAGGTTGTATACACACTCCTGTTTACTCTGAATCCAGTGCACTCCCGCTGCCAGTTTAGAAAGTGGTGTACACACATTGGCCACAATCCGTATCTGCCCTGTCATTTCTTATTAAATACTGTGTTTTCATGCGTTTCCTCATAAATTGCCTTAAATCGGAATTGAGAAAAAGAATGTCCTCGCTGTACTTTAAGCCAGTAACGTGTGCACAGCCTACATATGGAGAGAGCAATTTAAAACTCGGTAGTGCAGGAGCATCTCCAGCGGAAAGTCATGCGCAGAGGTTTTTCTTTGCAAGCTGCCACTCACATTGTATATTGTGACATATGGCAAACGAATCCGTCAGGGTGTGTCAATGTATGCTGAAATGGGTATCGCCAAAGGTGGGACATAGGGCATCCATACACCAAGATTGTCAGGTGCATCTGTTACAAGGAAACCTTGCACTACATAACAGGTGGTCCGTGTCCTTTTGTAAAAAAAAAAAAGGGGGGGGGGAGAGCGGTGATGGTAGTTTCTTTCATTGAATGCAGACCTGTGGAAGAAGTGTAACGAATCCTATTATGGCTGTTGCAGCTGCACTTTGGTGCAAATAAATGAGAGCCAAAACACAACTGGGACTGGCATCATTCAGATTCTCTTCTGCTGGCCTTATCTTGCCTGAACTCCTAGAAATGAGGTCTTGTCTTTTCACGTTGGGTGAAAGACAATAGGATTTGAACTCAGGTCCTGCTTTGGAGAGGCAGGCAGGCAGGCAGGCAGGCAGACAGACAGACAGGGAGGACAACTTTCTCCCTAGCACTGGCCTTATATGAATTTGAGGGGTGGGGGGAACCTTCCCTGCAGAGGCAGGAGGAAAAAAGAAGCCTTGCTTACTCTACTTTACTGTATGTTTCTACTCTATAAAAAACTTAGGCTCTGGGGTGGAAGTGCCAACCCTGACTCCTGTGGCACTACAGGAACATAGGGAGCTGCCTTATACCAGGTCAGATTATTTGTTTATCATACTTAGTATTGTCTTCTTTGGCTTTCCAGGGTCTCAGGCAGGGGAATCTTCATGGCACCTGCTATGTCATCCATTGGAACAGCAAAAGCCTACAGGGCGTGGGAAGACTGCATTGGAAATCCACCTCCCCAATGAGCCTGCATAGCTCTGCACACTGCAAGGTTCCCATTCCAGGCTACCTACGGAGTCCTGAGCAGGAGCACACCTCACTGGGGTTGGGGTACACAGCAACATTTTCTAACAAGTCCCGTATCTATGGGACTGCCTCTCCTGGTATGCCCCGCAGAGGACCTTAAGGTCCATGAACAACCATAGTTTAGAGGTCCCGGGCCCTAAGGAAGTCAGACTATCCTCCACCAGGGCCAGGGCCTTTTCAGTGATGGCTCTGACCTGGTGGAATGCTCTGTCCCATGAGACTAGGGCCCTTCAGGATTTAACCTCCTTCCGTTGGGCCTGTAAGACAGAGCTATTCCACCTGGCCTTTAATTTGAACTCAGCCTGCTCTTCTATTTCCCGTCCTTTCCCTTCCCTTCCCTTCCCCCTTTATGAAGATCACCCGCTCTGAGACCCCACAGCTAATTCTCCCCTAGTCTCCTTGCTGGCCCAATAGGACCAATTCAGCCAGCTAGCCCTGGGGATTATCTAATGCTTATTTCCCCTAAATTGATTTTTGAATTTTATAGTTATTCATGTTTTTATACTGTATTTTATGCTGCTTTTATAATTAAGAGTTTTAAATTTGTTGTTAGCTGCCCTGAGCCCAGTTTTTGAACCGGGAAGGGCGGGGTATAAATAAAATATTATTATTATTATTATTATTAGTCTTTTTTATTGTAAAAAAAAATTTTTTTTGTCATGGCACACAAAAGGGAAGGTGAACCAAGTGTGCAAGGGTCAGACTCCACATTACGAAGCCTGACCTGTTTTAGATCGGAGGTGGCACCAAAACACAGTAGTAGAGCCTCCCAGTTAGGTTTCAAGGCCAGAAATAACTCTGGGTAGGGGAAAATCAGCTGAGGAGAGGGAATGAATGAGAGAAAGCAGAATATGGTGAAGATGTTCAGCACTCCCTTGTGGACAAAATGGTAGACAGGGCCAGAGGGCAAAAGTGAGCAGAGCAATAAATATGAATTGTAGCTTTGTACAATAGTCTAGTTTCTTCGCACACTCACACATCCATCTCTGTCCTCCATCCAGGAAAGTGAGAAATACTGTCAGAGTTCAAGGACACATTCAACACATTCAATCTGGGGGGGGGGATCAGCCAGGAGGGTGCAAAGCAGGGCTTGTGGGCTGCACTTGGCCCCCAGACCTGAGATTCCACATCCTTGATTTTCAACATTTAATGCCAAGACATGGGTCTAACTCCAAAACTGCAATTCTAAACACATTTACTAGATGGTAAGCTTCCTTGGGCACAGGGGACTCACTTCAAAGTAAACATGCACCACCATATTGTGCTGTAAGGGACACAATATAGGACTGAGTCGTTTTTAATACCTGCTGGTTGCACCAAACACAGTCAAATTGTGGGTGGGTTGAGGGATGTGTGGTAGGCAGGGAGGTGTTGCTGAACTCTTCCTCCCTGTAACCCTCAATCCACATAAGAGGAAACAGAAAAGGTGACATGCCAATGCCATTACAGACAATTACTGATAAAAGATTTATTAGATAAATGCCTTTACAGTACTGTTGTCTTTCCTATGGCTGAGCACTGAACTATCATCTCAAATAAATACAAGCAGGCATAATGTACACTGTTTACAACTTCAATTTGTTACTTAAAATAATGCAAGTGCAATATAATACAAGTTTACTGTGCAAATAAGAATTTGAAATTACATTTAAAAGATTAGAGAAGCCAGTGCTTAGTAGATTACGTTCTAAACCAACAACATAGCTTCCATTACAAATAAATATCATGTAAAACTCAATGAAGAGACTATTGAACAAATGTTAAAAAGAGAATACTGTTATTTTAGAGGTATTGCAACTATCAGTGGTCCTTCTGTACATGCATTTGAAAAATCGGACAAACTTCCAAATGCATGGTCTTCAAGTATTTTTGTTTGGTCGGCTCATTTTTCTAAGTGCAGACACTGATCTGAAATCTCAGGGGGTAGCACCAGAGGCAGAGAGTCCTCATTCAAAGACACCAGTAAGTGCAGCTTGTCCAAGCAATCTTGTAAAACCCCCTCTGGATAGTCACTTAATTGCAAGTCCAGCGGTTTCTGATGCTGCAACATCTGATCAGCCAGGCCCAAGCAACAAACAGCCAGCAAGGAAGGCATGTATTTGTTAAAAGCATAGTCGGCCAGGCTAAGTTCAGCCACACCTTTGGCCAGAGCTTTGGCATTCTTGGCTTCCCAGGCATCAACTTCACAAGCCTCCATCCGCATATGTGTGAAGTGTTCCAGGAAGAAGCTGATGGTGGGGGCTGCTAGGTTGAAGTGGAGTTTGTTCAGAATGATGCACTCCAGGTTGCAGAGCTGCTGGCGAGAGAAAGTGTCACAGCAAAGAGCGAGGAGCTGTTTCGCCTTGGGTGGGTGCACTTCCACCTGAAAGGCAGACAAGCAAAGGAAAGAGTGCACACTATTAGCACAAAATATAAAAGAAAACAATGCCTGTGGGTATTTCCAGAACTGGTACAAATGTGTTACTGCTATTATATTCCCAAAGGTAAAGCACTTCTCATTATCACCTGTAATTTAGTCAAGGTCAGATGCAATGCAACTAAACAGGAACACAGCCTACCTCCAGCCTGGTGGGAGTTTAACGAAAGCTTAACTCTCTTCTAGCTAAATTAGGAGTCGGGAACCTTGTGGCCTAATTTCATGTGCCTGATGAGGAAAGAACAAACAGGGAGAAAGGGAATGTGGAGAGAGAAAGCACACACATGCTCAGAGGGGTGGCAGAAGCAGAAATAAAGAAAGGAGAATCCTAGCTACCTTTGATTCTAACTCTCCCTATTACAGCCACCAGCCCCATGGACCTCTGGCCTACCCCTCCCCGCCAACAGATTACTCCTGAGGAAAAATGGTGCTTAACAGAAAAAGCTTCCAACCCCTGATTCAAAACAAGAGAATTAAATGGCCTCAATTTGACCGTACACAATTATATTTTTTAAGGTTGTTGCTCATCTCTACAACTGCGGGGCACACCTTCCCTGTTTGGGTGAAATGTGGTGAACACAGTGGTTTAGATCCTAAGTTAAGCTACCGTATTTTTCGCTCTATAACACGCACCTGACCATAACACGCACGTAGTTTTTAGAGGAGGAAAACAAGAAAAAAATATTCTAAACAAAACAGTGGATGTATGATTTTTGTGGTTCATGCTGTGGCCACAGACATGTGATCTGACGGTGAGTTTGGGGTAGCCCAATGCAAAAATCCTGAGGATCCATGTGGGTCCATGCTTTGTAACCACGTTTTTGCACCACTGCGGCCCCATGAAACAGTGGGTGCGTGTGTGTTTTTTGTGCAGGCTGTAGCCATGGACATGCTATGTGATCTGATGGTGAATTTGGGGTGACCCAGCGCAAAAATCCTGAGGATCCATGTGGATCCGTGCTTTGTAACCACGTTTTAAGTGGGGAGGGAAGGAAAAGCACTCAAGGGACAAGCAGCACGCATGGGGTGTGTGGAGAAGGATGCTGCTAATAATGCAGGAGAGGCTCCTCTCCGGCTTTGCTCCTTTAGAACAAGCAGGCTCTGCGTCTCTCCTTCCTCCCCAGCAAGGAAACGACGATAGTAACCACTCTGAGACAAATCAAGAAAAATTGCGACCAACACTCTCCCCCAACAAGCGCAGTGAGGTCAAAACACACACACACACACACAGAGAGAGAGAGAGAGAGAGAGAACTGGCCTTAAAGTCGCAGGGCGCTGGGGGAGTGAATGGGAAGCAAGAGAAGGAGAACGATCCCTCACACATACACAGAGTGTCAATTCTAAAGTTGCAGGGGCGCTGAGAGAGCCCAGGGGCGCAGGGAGAGTGAACGGGAAGCATGGGGAGAAGGAGCCCTCACACACACAGAGAGACACAGAGTGTCAATTCTAAAGTCGCAGGGAGAGTGAACGGGAAGCAAGAGGAGAAGGAGCCCTCTCACACACACAGACACACAGAGTGTCAATTCTAAAGTCGCAGGGAGAGTGAACGGGAAGCAAGGGGAGAAGGAGCCCTTACACACACACAGACACACAGAGTGTGGATTCTAAAGTCGCAGGGAGAGTGAACGGGAAGCAAGAGGAGAAGGAGCCCTCATACACACAGACACACAGAGTGTGGATTCTAAAGTCGCAGGGAGAGTGAAGGGGAAGCAAGAGGAGAAGGAGCTCTTACACACACACAGACACACACACAGAGTGTGGATTCTAAAGTCGCAGGGAGAGTGAACGGGAAGCAAGGGGAGAAGGAGCCCTCACACACACACAGGCACACAGAGTGTCAATTCTAAAGTCGCAGGGAGAGTGAACGGGAAGCAAGGGGAGAAGTAGCCCTCACACACACACACACAGACACACAGAGTGTCAATTCTAAAGTCACAGGGAGAGTGAACGGGAAGCAAGAGGAGAAGGAGCCCTCTCACACACACAGGCACACAGAGTGTCAATTCTAAAGTCACAGGGAGAGTGAACAGGAAGCAAGAGGAGAAGGAGCCCTCTCACACACACAGGCACACAGAGTGTCAATTCTAAAGTCGCAGGGAGAGTGAACGGGAAGCAAGGGGAGAAGGAGTCCTTACACACACAGAGAGACACAGAGTGTGGATTCTAAAGTCGCAGGGGGAGTGAAGGGGAAGCAGGAGGAGGAGAACGATAGCTCAAGCACACACACACAGCCCCTACAGTGGCTAATCCAAAATCGGACAGCAAAAAACTGCAGGCAGGGACAGAGAGCAGGGGTTGTTTTAAAGCAGCCAACTCCCGCTCTGCTTCTCTCCCTCCTCCCCGGCTCTGCTAGCTTACAGGAGCCGCTTACACCCGCTTTGCTGTTTCAAAGCGAGCCACGGGCTGCTCACGACTGCAGGATATTCCCCCGTCATCTGTAGGCATTTGCTCCATAACACGCACAGACATTTCCCCTTACTTTCTAGGAGGAAAAATCTGCGTGTTATGGAGCGAAATTTACGGTAGTTAACTTCACAGAACTAAAAGTTCCTGTTCTCTCCTCCCAACTGCGCTCTACATGGGGCTACATTTGAAGGTGGCCCGGAAACTACAACTAATCCAGAATGCAGCAGCTAGACTGGTGACTGGGAGCGGCCGCCGAGACCACATAACACTGGTCTTGAAAGACCTACATTGGCTCCCAGTACGTTTCCGAGCACAATTCAAAGTGTTGGTGCTGACCTTTAAAGCCCTAAATGGCCTCGGTCCAATATATCCAAAGGAGCGTCTCCACCCCCATCGTTCTACCCGGACACTGAGGTCCAGCACCGAGGGCCTTCTGGCAGTTCCCTCACTGCGAGAATCCAAATTACAGGGAACCAGGCAGAGGGCCTTCTCAGCAGTGGCGCCTGCCCTGTGGAACGCCCTCCCACCAGATGTCAAAGAGAACAACAACTACTTAGAAGAGATCTGAAGGCAGCCCTGTTTAGGGAAGCTTTTAATGTTTGATGTATTACTGTATTTTAATATTTGGTTGGAAGCCGCCCAGAGTGGCTGGGGAAGCCCAGCCAGATGGGCGGGGAATAAATTATTATTATTATTATTATTATTATTACCTGTGACCACATAAAAACCTCTATTGGAGGGTCAAGGGTCTTTCCTGAACTAGACTGAGATGGGAGTTTGAGGGGCTGCTTATGGAAGGAGGAGATGGGAAACTTTCCTTCTATAAATGTCCTTATGATATCTTATGATCCAAGCATGAGTTTAGGTGATCTACACCCACCCTCCCCACATGTTCCTTCTCACATTGTGCAGGAGGACTCCTGATCTTTCCAATAGGCTTTTTGAGGGGCACAGGTGGCTGCAAGGAGGAAGGAGGGAACAGGAAACTTTCATCCTGTGAACTTCCTTAAGTTAGCTTATCTGATCTTAGGATCCAAGGGATAGCAAGCTGTTAGCAGTGAAATACCTTCTGGAAAGGCCCCAAGAGTCTGAGCTACATGTCTGCCATATTATTTACATTCTTTCATATAAAAATGAATCTGTTAGGATGGAAATGGGTTGAGATATTTGAATTTATGAACACATCTTTAGTATCAGAGTACAAAGCCATGCAACCTACAAGTGACCCAACTGTAGTCAGGAACCTCATGTAACTTATTGGAGCCTCTTAAATCACTATGGTTCAGAGATCCCTTCTCCTATAAGCTGTTCTTAAAGTATGTATTCAATAGCAATAACAAACCATACTACCTAAACAAAGGAGAGGGCTGTTATTATTATTATGGTTATTTTACTATAGGCAATCTGTCAGCATGTTTTTTATTAAGTTTTTATCATCGAAGTTTTGTAATGTGTTTCTAATGTTGTACGTGGTCCTGAGATGTTTTAATAAAGGGGTACATAAACTGCAGTTCGAAAGCACCCCCAGGTGCAAGTAGATAAATAGGGACCGCTTACTAGCGGGAAGGTAAACGGCGTTTCCGTGTGCGGCTCTGGCTCGCCAGATGCAGCTTGTCACGTTGGCCACGTGACCCGGAAGTGTCTGCGGACAGCGCTGGCCCCCGGCCTATAGAGTGAGATGGGCGCACAACCCTAGAGTCTGGCAAGACTGGCCCGTACGGGCAGGGGTACCTTTACCTTTTTTACATAAACTGCATTAATCATAATCATAAAAACAAAGGGGAGAGCCTCTAAGTCCTTGTACCTGTTTGCAAGAGATGAAGAGGGAAGTGACCCCTAGGAGTTGGAAGCAGTCAGCAGCCACTGGGGTGGTGGTAAGGAAGCGGTCTAGAGTGTTTACTGCCAGGCATAAGGACTCAAAAGAGAAGCCAAAGTGTTTATGCACTGGAATTAGCCAGCTGATCAGTTTGCACCGAGCCTCTGCAGTTATCTGGGAAGCAGAGAAGAGAAAAGGTTATGATGGGAAAAGAGGCAATAATAAATTATAGAGGCAACCATTTACTGTATTATAGACTCTTATTAATGAGAACCAAAATATTACATCAAAGTTTTAGGACATTTACTGAATTCCTTACTCCTGCCTTGTAAATAAGTACTATGTATTAGTTTCAACTGAAATAACAAAATTATTCTCCCATGTGTAATGATTTTTGTGAACAAAAATCAAAGATTTTGTGAACAGGAATCAAAGAAACCAGATTATCAAAAGAGCTGCCTGGTTTCATGATGGAGTTTATTTTTACTTTGTTTTAAGGCAGCAATATTTTTGCAATTTTTGTGGTGGCTGCAGAAACCATGCACAATGCTACAACATAAAGCTTATGTCCCACATGCACAGATAGAGGAGTTATAAAGGACTGCATAAATGCTGAAAGTAGACATACAACCTTTTCACAAATGGAAGCAGACTGCTCTATACAACAATGGGAAAATATATTCTCAGGGGAGGCATGTACGGAGATGTACTACTCTTTCTTCAGTGTCTCCCACATAGAAACAATAAAGCACATATTGGGGTAGAGGGTGAAAAGTAGTACAGTAATGGGGCTCATCTAGGCTTGCCATATGTCAGGAAAGTTCCTGACATGTCCTGGTTTTCAGGGGGTGGATTTTGCCAAAGCAGCAAAACGTCAGGGAAAACCAGGATGTATGGTTTGGGTAGGTTTCTAAAAAGAAGCTCAACAATTTGGGTGGTTTCCTAGGTTCATCTCTCTGCATACCATCTCCAAGTGTTCAGATGCACTTTTATTTTTTAAGCCCACTTCTATTCCATGATCTCTTGCTTGCAGTTGTTGTGAACTTCATTTCCCTAGTTATTATGAGTGATTTATAATCCGCAACCAATGTTGTCATTTAACATTGGTAGTATTTAATATTTAATTACACCATATTATATATGGGATCCTAGTTGCCCTTTATTGTCACCACTCCATTGCACAGCTCACGTGATGGGTGTACAAACATCTATTTTGGTACAATACCTACCAAACATTTACGTGCAACAAAAGACACACACATTTCATGGTGCACACTTTCCCCCTAACCCTCCTTTGTAGTTAAAATTGTGTGTGAAAGGTATAGGAAAATCCAGTAAAGTGTGAAAAAGTATGTGTGTGAAAATGCTTTCATGAGGTTATAAAGCCACTCAGCAAGTTACAGGGAACCAGGCAGAGGGCCTTCTCGGTAGTGGCGCCCTCCCTGTGGAACGCCCTCCCATCAGATGTCAAAGAGAACAACAACTACCAGACTTTTAGAAGACATCTGAAGGCAGCCCTGTTTAGGGAAGCTTTTAATGTTTGATGTATCACAGTATTTTAATATTTTTTTGGAAGCTGGAAGCCCAGCCAGATGGGCGGGGTATAAATAATAAATTATTATTATATTATTATTATTATAAGCAGCATGTGGGATGCTTTACAAATGTTAAGCATCAGCTTAAGATGCTCACAGGAAAGCAACGTGCCAGAGGTAGAATGAGATTGCAGAGCACAAGCACAGTATGCCAGACAACTATATGCAGATAATTATGCTATTCTTTGCAGTTGCCAAAAATGACAAAGACTTGCAAAAAAAATTACAGTATGTGTAACAAAGATGGTGATGTTGGATGTGGAAAATGAAAGATATATTCCAGGATGATTTTTTTAGATACAAGTCAGAGCATGGTGTATAGCTGGTACTCTCTGAGACTCCCTCTAAATGTCCAACCTCTTGTAAGTTCAGGTTCCACTCCACTGACAGCTCTGCCCAGTAGCCTCTGATCATAACTTCCCAATGTCTCTCAGGGTCAGCCTATCAGGAGCATTAAGCTTTATCTTATCATGTGGTTCTGTCACCCCAAATTTGCCTAAGATCTTGTAGCTGATGCCTTGCTAAATCAGGAGTGAAGGGATCTTTTTTTCTCACCTACAAATGTTATTACAGTGGTACCTCAGGTTAAGTACTTAATTCATTCCGGAGGTCCGTACTTAACCTGAAACTGTTCTTAACCTGAAGCACCACTTTAGCCAATGGGGCCTCCTGCTGCTGCCACGCCGCCGGAGCACAATTTCTGTTCTCATCCTGAAGCAAAGTTCTTAACCTGAAGCACTATTTCTGGGTTAGCGGAGTCTGTAACCTGAAGCGTATGTAACCTGAAGCGTATGTAACCTGAAGCGTATGTAACCCAAGGTACCACTGTAAGTGCTTTCACTTTGCTTTTTGTCTTGAAGAGCTTATAACGACAAAAGAGAAAGCCTTCAGGGATCTGTTTTCTGCACAGAAAGCACATGAAAACTGACCATCTTGTGTGACAACCACATCTATTGGTGTAGCCAGGATTTATGTTAAGGGGGCAGAACCTCAGTTAGTTATTTTTTATTGATTTACTGTACTTGATTTAGGGGGTGGGGCAGCTGCCCCCCTGCGCCCATGGTATTTGTGTGAGGATCAGCTGGAAAGCAGCTTTCTCTAGCATGTGTATGTCTAAACACTGAAACACGTGTATCTGTTGATCTACCCAGTTTCATACAGCTTCCTACACAAAAAAGTTAGGGGGCGGGGGACACAATGGAAGGAAAAGAAAGAAGAAATCTAGGACTCTTCATACATCACACAGAATGTGAATAATGGGGAAGAGCCGAAGCGCACCTCTTGTCTCTGCCCCAAAACCTGTGAAATATCTTACCTGTGCACTAAGTGTACTCAAGAAGACTGTACACGGGAGCTGGGACTTTGCCCAGTCAGAGCGGACACAATTCTGCTCCCACGTTTACAGGATTCCGTGTCAGAAAGAGTTGAGAACAAGAGTGTACAAAATACATGAGTAGATGCTCACTTTCTAACCTCGCCAAAAGTTGCCCGCGATTCCCTTGTGTGTCTTTCATTCGGGGGTGCGTGTGTGTGAAAAAAGCAAAACCCCGCCACCTCCACCCACCCTCCGCTTACTTGCGGCTGCTGGGCCAGCGGGTCGAGCGGGTGGAACTTGCCCTCCAGCTCCTTTCGGAAGCGGTACCAGCTCTGCCCGTAGTCGCGGAAGGTCTGCCTCTCCAGGGCTCGCATGGGCTCGCAGCGGCGGCGACCCGGAGACCCGGCCCGGCCGGAGAGGAGCCCCACCGGGGGGGCCTTGCTCTTCTTGACCGGCGCGCGAAGCCCGAGGCCGGCCTCGACGGCGCCGGGGGCCTCGGGGCGCTCCTCGGGGGTCACGTCCTCCGCCCGCTGCCGCTTGAGCGGAGGGCTCCGCCGCCTGCCCGGAGCCTCGCTAGGGAGGGTCGTCACCATGCTGCCGCTCCGGCTGCCGTTGCGCGCTTATTGCCGCCTCCCGGGCAGCGCCGAGGAGCAGGAGGCGCGCGGGGCCGGCTATATGTTGGGGAGCGACGCCCCGCCCCTGGTCCCGCCCGCCGAGGGCAGCGCCTTCCCGGCCCTCCGCTTCGACGGCTTTCCCGGCGAAAGAACCGCTCTCGGTTCCTCGGCGGCGGGCCGCCTTTTTCCCGCTTGTGTAACTAACTGCTGCAAGCCTGGAGGCGGGGAAAGAGTGTGGGGCTCCCGTCAAGCGCCGAGGGGACCCAGGAGGGCCTTTCTTCCACCCCTCGCAAAGCTCCTGTTTCCTCCAAATAAACTTCCCCGTGGGGTCGCCGTCCCCCGTGGAGGAGGCGCCTGCCATTTTGTTGTGATATTTATTTCCACCCCCCACCGGGGCCTCGTCTGATCTCCCCATTCGAATGGGCATCAAAATAGTCACGATTTAAGCACAGACATTCGATAATACCCTTCAAAACCGGCTCGTTTGTGTTATTAATTCGTTTATTTAGCAGCTCCCCTCCTTTGGCTTGGCTTTTCCCCCCAAGCCAAAGCGGGTGGGATTTCCTGGCCTGCAAAAAGGAGAAGGTCCCTTCACAAACGCGTGCGAGCAAAAAAAGGAAAAAGGGTGACAAGGACGACGCCATCTTCCCTCACAGCCATAGAACCTAACTGCCAAGTATCTCCACTCCACGATACAAGCTATAGTCTCAGTTTGTTCATTCAGACGAACTGGTACACGCACCGAGGGTCCATCTGCCACATGAAAGCCACCAGAAAGGTTGCTAAGCGGTGGCTGTACGATATGGCTTAGATGTCTATTCCAGGCCACCTTGAAGCCACCTTTTCCATTTAAAAGTTCAAGATGGCTTACTAAAGTTGCATTAAGAATAGTCCTGAAGTGCGTTATACCAGGGGGATAAACTTTTTGATCCACTAAAAAGGTGTGCCGTCTGTTAGTTGGATGACCTTTTTAAAAAGCCTGCTGATGGAAAATTCCACCTTAGAAGAGGCATCTTCCCCACCCCCCTTACACAGAAGGGAATGTCTCTCCCAAGACAATGCACTTGTGTTATTTGTTTTTAGATTTAATATACTTAATTAGTCCATTTTAAACTTTCACTGGTTGACAGCTGTTGTTAAAATAGTTGCTTAGCAAATTGGGTCCCAAAAATGGCATGGAAATTCTACAAGGAATGTGCAGTGGTGGCACAAAGATACCAGGCAATTCAGGAAAGTGCCTCTATATTTCAGGTGCCCCCCAGGATAGAGTCACTGCTACATGTAAGCCGTATTGCCACATCAAAGCATTTCCAGGCAGCTTATATGTTACTGGTGTATTGTTGTTGTTTAGTCATTTAGTCGTGTCCGACTCTTCGTGACCCCATGGACCAGAGCACGCCAGGCACTCCTGTCTTCCACTGACACCCACAGTTTGGTCAAACTCATGTTAGTAGCTTTGAGAACATTGTCCAACCATCTCGTCCTGTCGTCCCCTTCTCCTTGTGCCCTCAATCTTTCCCAACATCAGGGTCTTTTCCAGAGAGTCTTCTCTTCTCATGAGGTGGCCAAAGTATTGGAGCCTCAGCTTCAGGATCTGTCCTTCTAGTGAGCACTCAGGGCTGATTTCCTTAAGAATGGATAGGTTTGATCTTCTTGCAGTCCATGGGACTCTCAAGAGTCTCCTCCAGCACCATAATTCAAAAGCATCAATTCTTTGTCGACCAGCCTTCTTTATGGTCTAGCTCTCACTTCCATACATCATTACTGGGAAAACCACAGCTTTAACTATACAGACCTAATACTGGTGTATTAGGCCCTCACAAAGTTCCTTCTAATTTTAACTTTAATAGTAGCACAGGAACGCATGGCTGAAATAAAGCAAATGGATGATTATGCAGTCAGCAATGTCTTGCTCCCTAATACATAGTCCCATGCTGATTCTTTTTGTTTTGATATGCTGTAGATTATGGCATTACTGAATAGAATGTTATACATACATACATGTATGTATGTATGTATGTATACATGCTTCCTGCAAGCACAAGTCTGGATCCAGACTAAGTTGCAGTTAGGTTCTACTGAAGTCAGCTTGAAAAGTTAGTAAGATTGATAGATTTCAGTGGGAACTGGTACCGTAATACTATCCATGTCTACTCAGAAGTCTCATTGGGTTCAATGGTTCCCCTGAAATGTGCAAGACCCTGTATCCAACCGGTACAACTCTTTCTGATTGCTACTAGAACTTGCCCCCAAATCCAAGCTATTCTAATCATTCCATCACATGTGCTGCTTGGAATGTTGGAATGGTAGTTTCTATTAAGAGGAATCATTATCAATATTTTGACTGTTAGGTGCACAAATGTCATGTTTTGAGAGACTTTTCTGCTGTGCTTTGCACTACATGTGTACCACGTTTCAACTTGTTGCGTATCTTTGAAGTACCTTATCCATGACACTTTGAACTCATTTTGAGAGCTAGCAAATGTCCTATTTTCAGAGGGTTTTTTCTACTAAACACAGTGCCCTGGATTACACATGTACAATATTTGAAATGTCAGGGTTGTAGTTAACCTAACAATTTCACTAGCTGTCATATTGAGAAAATGACCTCACTCTGTTATTAAATTGACCAGATAATGTACCAATCTGCCATCTGTTAAAACAAGTAAAAAGGAGTATTGGGCAGGAGCAAGTCTTCACAGGTTTTGGTCTTCTGGGGTAGTTGTGCAGGGCAGACATTGCCCTCAATGCAACAATGTACAGTACTCAAAATGCAGCACTTTATTCTTTCGGATAGGAGTAAAAGGCAACTCACAACTAAAGTAGGAAGTTAAGTGTAATCACTTTCCAAAACAAAATGGTAAATCTGGGGTGGCATTTTGATGAGGACAATGTTATGTGGATGGTGCAATGAACTTGCATGTATGAGCAGTGCAAGTCTATCATAAATTGATATATGTGCATCAGCTCTGCTCTCTGCCCTAAAGACCCCAGACATCAAAAATCAAGTTGCGTTTTTAACTGCATAGCCCTGTTCTGGACAGCTTCTTGTTCATTGCTTTGGGAGAGTGGGGCAGGATGGAGAGAACTCGTTTTTATATATTCAAATACTCAAGTCTGTGAAATTTCATAGGAAAGAGAGTCTGTTGAAACTAGGGGTGTCCTTGCCTTGTCTTACACCTCCCCGGATCTTCTCTATGCACCCCCTCCCAAACACTGCCACGACCTGCTATTATATTCCCCTTGCTTACCACTGAAATGTAAGGTGTCCCCCTCAAAATATCCTCTGCCATATTACATCATACTCCTAGGAATGAATGCAACCATTCATTTATAGAGGAGAAAGTAAAGGGATTCAAAGTGCAGGGGGATATTATGAGGGCAGCGACTAAATCTGTTCTTTCCCTTGGGGATCTCAACCATTAAAAAGCTAGCTTACTCCTAGCAGTCTAATCATAAACTGTTCTTTACTCCAGGTGACTCTAGTAATTAAGTATCAACACTGCTACTAGCTGCATAATGCTAAATTTTTTCTTGATCACAGAGCAGTGTTATGACCCTAACAGACAGATGTGTGCATCTGTTCCAACTGGTAATTCCGTTAGACACGAAGAATTACAAACACTACCAAGACCTTCTAAAAAGAGTACCAAGAGCTCTCCTGCAAAGTAGAAAAGCTCAGCAAAATGGGGTGAAGAGTTCCAAAACGGAAAACAAGTGTTTTTGTCACAAATACTAGAGTGTTTCTTTCAACCTCTTATAGGTTGTTGTGGTTTTGACATTATGCTGAAACCATAAACTTCCCCCATAAGCAAGCCTCTCTATAGAATAGAGAAACATGCCAGGTTGCAACCTGTCACTTAAAAAGTACACCTATGATGTGAAGTTTCTTTAGCTTAATGTCTGAAAAGCAATTTATTCAGGCAAATTGCTCCCTCTGCTGGATCAATGAAGCAAGCTATCAGACTAGTTTTGTATGTTGCGTTATACAATCCTCTACATTAAAATTAGTAATTTCTTTCTATCTTTCTCTTTTTCTTCCTTCCTTCCTTCGGTTCCTACAATATATGTAAAGGTAAAGGGACTCCTGACCGACAGGTCCAGTCGCGGATGACTCGGGGGTTGCGGTGCTCATCTCGCTTTATTGGCCGAGGGAGCCGGCGTACAGCTTCCAGGCCATGTGGCCAGCATGACTAAGCTGCTTCTGGCAAACCAGAGCAGCACACGAAAAACACTGTTTACCTTCCCGCCGGAGCGGTACCTATTTATCTACTTGCACTTTGACGTGCTTTCGAACTGCTAGGTTGGCAGGAGCAGGGACCAAGCAACGGGAGCTCACCCCGTCGCGGGGATTTGAACCGCCGACCTTCCGATCGGCAAGCCCTAGGCTCTGTGGTTTAACCCACAGCGCCGACTGTGCTTACACCTCCTCAATTTAAGATGCATGTTGTTTACCAAACAACCTTGTATTTTTAAGCATACTACTTTGCAATTCCTATTAAAAGGCAATTTTTGTATGAGAAAAAGGAGAAAGCAACTATTACCAGTGCTAGAGACCTTACTTCACAGTCTATCTTGTGTTCATGCAGAAAAATGATTCATTTCTTATATTTTTAAACTGGTTTCTGTCGTAAGAGAATTAAAACTTGAAGGTAACAACAACCAGAACCCTGATCTGTTCTTTCCCTTCTGACTCTTGACACTGTTTTTTAATCAGCCTCAGTTCCAAAAACAACAAGTAAATAAAACTAAAGGGGCAAAGGCAAATCCTCAATATATGTAAAGCACTGACCAAGCACCACAGCTTGTCAGCAACAAACAATTAACTACCATAACAATAAGAACAAAATAGTATACATATGTAGCTGCAAATGAGTTTCAGTGCAACTCTCTAAAAATGGAATGCAGTGCCTTAATTTATCTAGAAAGTCAATCTTTAGTGATAATAATTGTTAACATCAAGTGTGAACAAAATATATGAACTTCATTTGTTGCATTCCAAACTACATCACAGATCTCAATCATTTCAAGGACTGGTTCATTAAAAAAACAGGGTTCATCACCAATGGCTTATCCAGACGAGAAAACTGGAAGCTTCAGCTGGTGAAAGGGAAACATGTCACATTTTGCAATCTCTTAAAACAGTTTATCCTACTTAAAGCTAATAAATGAAACCG